TCTCATATATTGGTTTCACCTTTTGACTTGCCTTACTGACATAAATGAACATTTGCACGATATTCTAATTTTTTGCATTTCACCTGTAAATTCAATCTGCTTCACATTTGCTCCACAAGCAAATAAAGGGGAGATGCAGAAAATTTGTAGTAGTTTTCCTCATTCAAAGTCTGAAATTATTTATTTCAAAGTTTCCTATATGGAAGACCAACCACACACTAAAATGGGAAGGTGTCTGGAGAGAACTGGGCTGTCTTTCAAGAACTGCCTCATTTTCTGTTCGAGAAGAAAGTGGACACTCGCTCAAGTCTTCTGTATCTGTAAGTTTTTTTAAAAAAAGTGAACATTAAAATTCATGTTTGTTTGTTTAATACAGGTTGCTAAATGGTGTCTATTTAATATGGTAGATGAGGTTAACTGCCTAGTGCTGAAATAAGATAAATAGGATGGCTATTGCTCATTCTTGTCATAATAAAAATTCTAATCTACTGGGTTCTGCAGAATTATGGAGAAGTTTAATTTAAAATTGCCAGAGAAGTCCAATTTCTTCCTTTTGAAGCCCTCCTAAACAATGAAATAAATAACAATAGATCCCAAGTAAAGTTTTCTCAACCTGCAATGTTAGCATTTAATTCCTGTCTTATAAAACTTCATACTTTGTTTCTGTTTATAGCATGCCATGGTAATTGATTCTCGAAACTCTTCAATCTTGCCTAAACGAGGAGCTTTGCTGAAGATAAATCAGGTATTAATTCCTCGCTAACTATAAGTTTCATTATAACATGCAGAAAAGCTAAGTTCTGCATTTAGATACGAAAAAATGGAAAACCCAAATACAGAACGGAGAGATCTGATCTGGCAGTTTTTTTTTTTTTAATTATTATTTGTGCCTTCAAGTCAGTGTTGACTCCTAGCGACTGCCTGGACAAGCCCCTGCAGTTTTCTTAGCAAGATTTTGAAAGTGGTTTGCCATTGCCTGCTTCCTAAGGTGGAGAGAGAGTGACTGGCCCAAGGTCACCCAGCTGGCTCATGCCTCAGGCGGGACTCACCGTCTCCCGGTTTCTAGCCTGATGCCAACCACTACACCAGATCTGGTAGTAGTCTGTGAAAAAGGGAACTGTGAATCTTTGTCAACCACAAATTAAACATGAGCCAGCAGTGTGACACAGCTGCTAAAAAGGCCAATGCTATCTTGTGGTGCATTAAGAGAAGCACAGGGTCCAGATCATGGGAAGTAATTTTGTCATGTGTCCTGCTTGTCCTGCATCCAGTTCTGGGCACCACAGTCTAAAAAGGATATCGAGAGACTGGAATTCAGAGAAGGGGTGGAAACCTTATTCTTATAGGAATAGTTAAAGGATCTGAGTATGTTCAGCTTTCAGAAGAGAAGCCTGAAGGGGGATGGAATAAGTCTTCAGAAAACCTGAAGGGTTGTCACATAGAAGAAGACAGGAGAGGGCCCCAAACCATAGCTTAAAGCTCCACCGAAGGAGGTTCAGGCCAGACATCAGGAGGACCTTCCTGGCAGCTTGACTGTCAGCCGTGGGAATAGGCTCCATGAGCTGTGGTGAGTTCTCCTTCATTGGTGGTCTTCAAAGAGAGGCTGGGTGGTGGTTTCTCAGAGATGCTGTGCCGAGAGGGGGTTGGACTAGCTGGCCTCTAAAGTACCTTCAGCTCTTCGGTTCTGTCATCCTGTGCCTACTTTCTGCAACACGAAGTATGGCAGTGTGAATTCCTCCCCCCAGATAAATCACACTGTTTGGCGCTGTGTGCAGTTGAGTAGTTTTTGAAATAACTGTTCGTTTTCCTTTATAGCAGCACCAAATGTATTAGTTTAAAATCAACAGATTATTAGGTACCCAGTTTATTGACTCTGAATTCCCCCTCCCTTTGTTTTTCAGGAGCTTGCTGGATATACTGGTGGTGATGTGAGTTTTCTGAAGGAGGACTTTGAACTTCAGTTAAACAAGCGCCTCATATGGGATTCGGTAAGCCCTGCACTTCAGTCTTTTCAGTCCTTGTTCCTGGCAGTAAATGACTTTCCCATCCTAATTCTTCTAGAACGTCATCGCATCGCAAATCTAGGATTTTGATTTTTTAAGAATACTGAATTGCGCAATGCATAGGATCGAGTCCGTGGGTCAGTGTGAAATCAGTTCGTGGCTTACGCTGACACGCTCTTTCAAAGGGAGGAGCAGAGGTTATGACTTTGGGCGTGCCGTGAGTCAATGCGAGATGGGGAGATTTCACTCATGCGTCTCTTGGACAGCTGCTGTTCCCTACCCCAGAACAGCAAACTCTTCTGAAAGCTAGAGCAGTTTCACAAGTATTTGGTTATATTGTAGTGGAGGTTTGGGGATGACTCGAAAGGTTACGTGGGGTCAGGCTTAGTTATTTTCAGGAGATTAAGAAACCGTTTGGAACCAGTTGTACGTTGCTGGGTATAGGTTGGTCCAGAAAATAATGTACGCTCACGTTTTGACTGACTTTTAAAAGTGGCCCCCGGGGAGCTTCAGCTTTTCGTCCTGACTGCGTCTCCCTGGGAGGATCTGGCAGAGCATTTGGAGAGAGTCTGCGTGGGTGCAGATGTTCCACCTTTCCCATTGTTTTGAACGCACTGAAAACGCTTTTCTGCAATGAAAACGTGTTAAAAAAAGGAGTGGGTGCGCTAAAAAGCCAGTTTTTCAAACATTTTTGAATACTTGTCAAATGTTTTATTTTGATATATTCTGAATAGTAATAAATGCTTTTTATTTAAGAGTTTTCTGTTTCTCTGAAGGTTTTCTCAGCTTCTCTCTGGGGCGGAATGTTGGTTCCTATAGGAGACCGAGCATCTAGTATTGCAGACAGGTATGCTGGGCCGTTTGACATGCTTTGGACTGGATATTCCCGTCATTACAGGCAGCACATTTTGTAAATTCCCTTGACGTAGTTCGTACATCAGAAAAAATGCTTTTACGGTGGAGGTCCACAGAACTGATTCCTCCGCGTGGCATGATGTAGGAGTTTGCCACTGGGCTGCGTTACTTAAGCCAGGGTTTCCCAGCCTCAGCACCTTTCAGACTTCAACTCCCAGAATTCAATTCAAAGGTTGCTGAGACTTGAACCATGGAAGATGCCAAGTTAAGATCCACGAGAGCCAGCGGAGTTGTTGAAATGTCCCTTTGATTGGAGAAAAGGGACATTCCTGGGCAGTGGAAGCAGTCCACGCGCTTGTTGAAGGAGACCAACACAGTCTTTTTCCCCACAGCCCTCGCTGCAGAGACCCAGCATCTTGCCTCAGCCCCAGTGAAAGGAGCCCCCCTGCCTTGTCTGCAAGAGGCCTCCCTCTCTCACTTCCTCTCCCTTTGGGCTTCCAAACCTAGTTGCTCTTGCTTCGCCCTTGACTAGGATGGGTCAGTCCCAGTAAAGCACTTGTTATTGCCACCGACTCCCTCTCAGCCATGCCCTCATCTATCCTGCTAGTGTCTTGCCAATGTGCTGCAGAGCTGTGAACCCGTTTTGTTGCACGGCACCCTTGCTGCGAAGGGGGCCCAGGGAGGGGCGTTCCTCTCCCGCATACACTAGTCCGATTCTTCAGTGGAGAAAAAAATGGCATATAGATGGTAAATGGGGAAAGGGAACAGATGTTGCAGAAAGAAACAGGAATTTGGTGGGAACATTTTGATGAGGAATATTTGTAAAAGGGCAGTTGGGAAAGTTCAGCCCATATGCTTAGAAAAGAAGACTTCTTAAGAAATGTACCTCGTCATCAGTTAAATTAAGCCTTTTATCTCCCTGGGTTAAGAACGCCCAGGTTACAGATGACCCACAGTTAAGAACGGAGCCTTTTGTAGCAAAATTTGAGTTAAATTCAGAATAATTCAAGTGAAATACACAATGGTTCGAGTTCATTACACAATACTACTTCTACAGTGTTATACAATAATGTTCTGGCTTGCGTACAGATTCGAAATGTATTTCCAAGGTCTGGAAATGGAACTCGTTCTTAAACTGGGGACTATATTGTTTAAAAAAGTATTCTGGCCTAGGAAGAAGTAGAAGGGGAGTTCTGAGATGTTTTAAAAATGCAACTGCTCTTGGGGCCTAAGCCAAATAATGTAAGATGTTGGAGAAGGAAGAGGAGGAAAAATGCGTGCAGGAGAAATGCCCTTGGAGTGCTGGTATCTGGCTGTTCTGCACGCATACAAAGTACTTTACACAAAGCATCATCCTTTGTCAAGAAAGCTTCTTTAGATTAATCCAGTGTTGTCCAAACGTGGCCACTTTAAGATGAGTGGACTTCAACTCCCAGAATTCCCCAG